GCAGAAAAGTTAAATCTGATGGTTTAATTCAGGTAACTGAAAAGTTCTAGATGGACTAAAAACAAATTAATTGAATTTAACACAAAAGGAAGAGTTATATCTTGATTTGTCGAGAAGCTACAATGATTTTTTAAAGAAGCTATGATATATATATATATATATAATATAAAGAGAAAATTATTTCTTGAGTCAACAAAAAAAATGATGAATAAATCCATTTACAATAATGAAACAAGTCAAGAAATAATTAATAAAAAAAAATCAAAATCACTGCTTATATACCCGGTATTGGCCATAATTCACAAGAACATTCTTCGGTCTTAGTAAGAGGAGAAACCNTCTCTCTCTCGTATGACCTGAAGCTCAACAATCCTTTGGAGAGTCATAGCGGCCCATAAGTTCAATATTTCAAATGATGGTACCTTGTGGAATGAACTTCAATATTTCAAATTAGACATGGGTTGCTATAATGTATAATTTGATTAGTTAGGAATGTCTTGATGGTCAATTGACTATTGTTTTACAAGTTGACTTGTTAAAAAAGGAATAATACTATTTATCTTTATCGAAGGTCATTTGTCCGGTCCAATACGACACATCAAACATGCATCTAAAATTCTAAATGTTGTCTAATGAAATTGAAATGCATTTATAATTTAAGATATTGTATTTCTATGGTCACCTGGACAAATGATCGTCTAAATCTAAAATATCAACTAAAATAATGTTATTTATCTCTATCAGATATGCTCACCCGTCTATATGGCATGAACTATGAAGTTATGAGATTAATTAAATGTGCGATATTAGACCCAACCCCATGAATAATATTTTTCAATCGTATGGCATGAGCTTGGTGCATTTATTCAAATTGCAACACCTTACTTATAACTTAGGATGCACCTTCAAAATCTCGAAATCATGAAAACGAATGAGTCAATTTTGCATGATTTTTTTCTCTTGATTTGGCTTGACAATTCACATCAATCTAATGCATATTATCTTGATTTGTTTCAAAATCTAGCCCAGAAAAATGGAATTCCAAGGCAAAAATGTCAAAACCTATAGTAACTTATTAATGGAGAGTACTCTGCCGAAGGCAAAGGACATGCAAAATGCAGTTAGTGTTACCTTTGTTGTTGAAATGGTAAATTCAATTGTAAAATTTTATTTTATATTTTTATCTCACCTTTGAATTATTTGATGGCAAATAATGCTAATGGAGAGACTTGGGCCTGCAGCAAGATGGGGAATGGGCCAATAACTTGAAATGGTGCGGTTGAAGTCCATTTCTTCTTTGAATATAGAAACAGAAGAAGGTTCGGGTTGGACCAGAGTCGTGATGAAGTTAAAGCTTTCGGTCGAGGACCTGATTCCAAAAAAATTGTGTAGTTACTAACCGTTGATGAAATAAACGTGAGAGGGTTGAGCTATCTTTGTCAATATGTCAAACATTGGGGCCTTGGGCATATTTGATATAGATGAAATTACACCCATACCTGATTTTAAAATACTATTTTCATAAATCGGGTATCTAATTTCATAATACAAAAATCAAGTTTTAATTAAAGATTTTTTTAAAAAAATTATTTTTATTTTTATATCTACCTACACTATCCAAACCCTAAACTAATCTATATCCTCTCCACTCTTTCACCGTCTCTCCACACACGGTCCGTCTCTCCACCTTCTCTCTTCTCCACTCTACTCCCTCTTCGCCGACAGCCCAATCTCCACGAGACGGCGTAGCCTCGTCCGATGGCTTTGTGTAGATCCAGTGGTCTTGGTGCAGATCCATTCTTCTTCTTCTTCTTTTTTTTTTGAAATATTGATGCGGTGGAGGTGTGTTGTGCGGTGTTGGTGGAGGTGTACGTCACTGCTTCGACGCGAAGTGTGAACGGGTGTGTGTGCTGTGATGTGGGTGACGTCGCGGCGCTGTGGTGAATGAACTGCTAAGGGGTGTGCGAGCGCGCGCTGCGACGACTACCGTTGGGTGTGCGTGCGGTTGCGATTGGGTGTGTGCGATGTCGTGACGATGGTCTTGGGTGGGATGAGATGGACGTGGGTGTCTGTAACCAATTATTGGTTGATTGTGACCAATAATTGGTTAATTGTTGACAAATTAATAATGTGTGACCTAACAATTGTGATTGTAACTCACATTTTATTAAGTTATAATCGAGTTGTGACCAATAAAGGAAAATGCTACTTGTACATTAAGGGGTACATAAGGGTGTCCATAATGGACACCCTTATGTACTCTCCGATGTACTTGTAGCACCTCGTAATCTGTGACCCATAATTGATGTTTTGTGAGCATAAAATAAGTTGTGTGGTTTATAAATTTTGTGATTTGTGACCGATGAACGAATTGTGACTTATAAAATTTTTGAATTGTGACCAAATTACATAGATCTGTGACATTTATATATTTATTCATAAAATATATAATTAATTAATTAAATTATAAATAAATTTTAATGAAAACCTGATTCTTGAAATTTAAAACATCTACCTTTAATTTTGAAATGTTGATACTTAAATACCTTATTTATGTATTGTTCCCTTTGATATATTTTAAAAATGGGAAAATGTAGAAATTAAACGAGTGCAGCGATACTTAGAGTTTAATATGGCACTCAACCAATTGTGAGATCATAAAATCTTCAAAACTCGCATTCTAGTTCCTTCATCCAAAGTGGTACATGCTAGTTTTGGTATGATGGGGGACTTACGCCTATAAATTATTAGGAATGTCATTTTTAGTTGCTTTTATGATTCTATTCTTGCACATAATCAAATGAGTATATGTTGGAAGTGGTGCACCCCACCATCACGCCAATCCAACATTATGGGCTCTCAAGAATCAAGATCCCCACTACTATGTGTTGGAGTGAAATTTTGTGAAGATGACTTCTCTCAATAAAGCAAACATACTGATAAAAAGTTTATAGTGGATTGTGATTTCCAAATCATCTTTGTTACTTTGAAGATTGCTTGGTTTTTTTGGTTTTTTCTCTTTATCTTTCCAAAGGATTCATTAATGCATTTTTTTTTTTTTAATTTTTTGTCCCTCTAATGCAGCCTTTTGTTTTAATTTTTTTATATGGGAGTCAAATTATAATTATGATAAGAAAGGATTGTAAGTTGACAATCATCATAAGATTTTTATCACATTTTATGACGGTGAATCTTTATGATTTCGAAATATCATTCTTTTGAATTCTTTAACAATGATACGTCGAAAGTGATGAAAAGTTATTTGTACTATCGATCTTAAATTTATTGTGAAATTCCTCGGATGGTCTCAAAAAACATTTCTCGTGCCCAATTTTTACAATAAAAGGGCTATTCATCCCCAGTGGGGATACATCCCCAATCTATATGGATGTAAATAATTGGTTAATGATAGGTGAAATTAAATAAGTCTATCATTTAATGCTACATAGACTGGGGATGCATACCCAGTGGGGATGAATAGCATTTCTCTTTTTACAAAGAATAATGATATTCATCTCCAATGGAGTTGAGTCACAGTCTATGTGTTTAAATGAATCTATCATTTAATATCATGTAATTGTCATATAGACTGGGGCCCAACCCACATTACTCTTTTACAAATCAAATTAGTTGGTTTTGTGCTAAAAACTAGGTGTTTAATGCTGTTCAGATTTCATTATGATAACCCCATGTGTTGATAGACCTTGAAAAGGCCAAAATGTTTGGTTATCTTGGTCCCAACATCATCTTACTTATTAATTTTTTGCCTTAATTAAAGTAGGGTTATGTTAGGTTGGTGACAACTCATTTTGCTTAGCCATGCACATGGCTCAATGATGATGATAATGAAGAAAAAAGAATCAAAAAAATGATAAAAACTACATTAATCATACCAAGAAAGCATTAACAAAGAATTCGTGCTTCAATGGTGCATCACAAGATTGATATGCAACAATGAATAACATTAAACATAAACGAGATAACAAACAAGACCTGTGCAAAACATTTGCCAAGGGAGACGACGTTAAATTTTAAAACTTTCAAAAGATATGAATACAACAATCAAGAAAAGGACATGAAGAAGAAGAAGAAACCATGTAAACTTGACCTCATTAGAGGTAAATCTCAGTGAAACAAGTAAAATATTTTTAAAAAAAAATGCATTTAAAGAATAATATTATTTCAAGCTAAATACATGGGAGGCCTAATTAATAATTGAATAAGACTACTTGTACACTTTTGTCGGAGAGACAGCATCTTATTCTGCATTATTCTCTATTCCATTCCTCTGACTGTTTTTCTTTCTTTATTGTGGCTATCTCTATTCCCTATAGTCTCTGCTTTCACTTTCTGCTTTTAAGTATTATTATATATGCATCACCACTTGGATTATTTGCTTGGGAGTGGCAGTCAAGAATCTTGAAAACCCTCAGACAATCAATTTACTTTTGATTTGCTTAGATATGTTGTTAAAGATCTGTGACTGTGATGCATGCTCGAGTGGGAAAGCCCTCATTTGATCGGACTATTCTTATTCTTAAATTCAAGATTTGCCCTTTGCCACGCGAGCTTTCATCTTTCAGTAGACACCGAATGGACTGGTGAAGAATGTTTTGCACTAGATCTAGCAACCAACCGAACAGAAAAGATGATTCATACAATGCAAAAAAAATAAAAGATAAGAAGAGAGAATCACGAGTTAAATGGCTCGTTAGACCAACAGGAAGTGAAATTTAAAGGATTACAGTAGGTGACAATATCCAACAGGGTCCTAAATTGGAACCCGGAGAAAAGGAATCCGGTAACCGATTGAGACATGGAGAAGTAACTAAAACATGGAACTAGAGGTCAAAAATTTACGAAAACATCATGAGCAAAAGAAATATGGAAATAATCTGAATTCTCCATTTTAAATAAACCAAACCGGATTCTTCTTCGCCGGATAAGCCATTGTGAATGCATCAACTCCGGACCTCTACGAGTTAGATGAGTAACTTGAGTCATCCTGACTCGTCCTGACCTTCCGAAGGGCATCTAATCAGCTCCAATATGTTAACCACTTCGGCCATGTCCGGCCTGTTTGAAGGCACTTGCGATGTGCAGATTAAACCTAACTTCATAACTGGAATCGCCTCCTCAGCAGGAAACTTCCCTTGCAGCCTATCATCAACACAGTCCTCTACCTTGCCATCTTCCAATGATCCTCTGATCATGTCACAAAGCACTACTACATCATCCTCCATGTACTCAACAGGTCTCTTTCCAGTAACTATCTCAAGAACCAAAACCCCAAAACCGTACACATCACATTTCTCTGTTATCTTAACAGTTCTGCAAGCAAATTCAGGTGCCATATAACCGAGGGCACTCTGAATCTTGCTGCTCAAAACATAACGATCCAACATCGGTAACAACCTGGCTAAACCATAATCTGCAATCTTAGGTTCACCAGAGCTGTCAATCAAGATATTGCTTGATTTTAAGTTGTAGTGGATTATGTTCATTTGGTGCAAATGAGCCAAGCCCTTAGCTGCACCCAGAATAATATTGAATCTCTCGTTCCAATGGAGAGTTTTCCCGCCAGATCCTTCATGAAGGTGCTTGTACAAATCTCCACCAGAGACAAATTCATATATAAGAAGCTGTAGCGATGGAGTCCAGTAATAACCTTCAAGTGCCACAAGATAGCCATGACGGACTTTCCCCAAGTTTTTGACTTCCCTTTCAAAGTCTTCTTGGGACTTAACAAGACTTGAAACGGTGAGTTTCTTGATGGCAACGGAACGTCCATCTTTAAGCATAGTCCGGTAGACAGCTCCGAATCCTCCACGCCCAAGTTCACAATCCTTGTTAAGCAGAGCATGTGCCCCAGTGCTAAAGTCAGGTTCGCCTGAAAACATGACGAGCTTCCCAGAATTGCCATCTGTGGTAGGTGACTGGCTAAAGTCGTCACCACCAGAAAAGGTAAGGGCTGCTGCCGAGTGAGATGTGGAGGCACGTACTCGAAGGTTAAGCACGGTTATTGCAATAACACCAATAAAAATTGAAGCAGCTGCACCAATTGCAATGAGGGATGAAATGCTTAGAATTTTCTTTCCACGATGAAAGCTTTGGGAGATTGTACCCGGAGTGGCATCCGTTGAGTTGGGATTTAATACAATTGGCTTGGGAAGGACCGTAGGGCAACTTCTATTGACTGGTGCCCCACAAAGGGACGGATTGTCAGAGACGGAAGAGGGAGCTATGGTGTTGAAAAAACCACCAGCAGGTAATTCACCATTTAGCTGGTTGTGTGAAATGTTAAATGACTGCAGGTGGACAAGATTTACCAGCTGCTTCGGTAGGGTTCCTGTAAGCTGGTTAAAAGAGAAGTCGACGATCTGAAGGTTGGCAGGTTTTGAAAGGGATGTAGGAATGGAGCCACTTATTTCATTGTGTGCCAGAGACCTGACAAATTCAGCAAAAACCAAAAAGGAGCTCAGTCAAAATGGCAGTGCAAAACAAGGGGTTGCCCAAAATTATAGACTTATCAACTGTTCAGAAAGAGCATTTTGATGCAGTTGTTTTATTTTGTGGACAATAGGCACTTACAAAACGTGATAAAATTACACAACAGACTACAAATACAAATTGTCCCATAAAAAACTCAAAGGCACTTAATTTTACAGGACTCTACTTGAATCAAAACCAACCAATCAGATATCTTCTAAATTAAGAAATTCATTAACTCTTGCAATTAAAAATCTCACAAGAGGATGACTAAGAACCTTAACCAATTTGAGGCAAATGATGCAACTAACTTGGAAACCCACCCAACTACAAGGTCAAATTGCTTTGAGCATAAAATTCAAAACTTTATACTTGTTTTCTCAGAATCCTCCGGAACCATTCCACAGGTTATATGGTTATGTCACATAAAATTGCTAAAAGAAAGAGAGCAAAAAAAAAAAAAACAAAGGAAGCAAGAACAAGGTCAGAGACTTCCGGGGATAACTTACAAGGAAATCAGTGAAGAGCAGTTCCCAATTGAGGAAGGAATATTGCCTCTCAATGAGTTTTTCTCTAGTGTCAATTCCTTAAGTGATGTAGCACTTCCAATATCCAAAGGGATACTATCATGTAACTGATTTTCGCTCAAATCCAGAATTTCCAAGGTCTTCAATTGTCCGATACTTGCAGGAAGGCTGCCTACAAGTGAGTTTCTTGACATATTCAATAACTGCAACCCACTTAAGTCCCCAACAGCCGACGGAATTTCACCAGATAACTTATTCTGGGACACATCCAAAATCACAACCTTTCTACGAGAATTTTCAGTCGACGAGGCAAGAAAACTGCCCATGCTTCCACTTAATCTATTATCTGAAAACAAAACTTGCTGTAAACCTAGTTTCAATATCCAAGAAGGAAGATTCCCAGTCAAGGAATTATGGCTCACATCCAAAACCAGAAGGTTTAAGCAATTACTCATGGACTCAGGCATGCTTCCAGTAAGGCCATTCTTGGAAAAATTTAGAACCTTCAATGACTGAAGCTTCCCCATAGCATCCGGAATTTGGCCACTGAAGTTATTTTCAGAAAGCTCCAAGGTCTCAAGGCTTCTCATTTCTCCAATCCATTCAGGCAGTTCCCCGGTAAATCCATTTTTATACAAAACCAGGTCATTACACAAGGCAAGCTTCTGCATTGTGCTTGGGAGCCCTTCAGAAAGAGAGTTTTCGCTCAAATCAACTGACCTTAAATATAAACAATCCCCAATTCCATCAGGAACACCACCAGTAAAGTGATTATTCCTCAAACTTATGCCCCTCAAATTGCTCAAGCCATCAATGCCCTTCGGAATCTCACCCTCCAATAAATTATCAGACAAATCAAGCAACCTAAGCCCCTGCAAAGACCAAAGCGCTGAAGGCAACAGTCCTGAAAACTCATTGCCTGAAAAGTTCAGTGAAGCAAGAGTCGAGCAAGAGCCTAAACTCTCAGGAATTTGCCCCGAAAACTTGTTTTTAGCCAAAGAAATTGATCTTAAAGATCCACATTGCCTAAAGAAATCACTCTCGATTGGGCCCGAAAAGCTATTCTCACTCAAGTCCAGGACCCTTAAATTAGAAAGCTGAGAAAAGCTGAGGCTTATGGATCCTGTAAGATTGTTTCTTACAAGCGAAAGCTTTTGAAGAAATTGCAGTTGAATGAGGCCTCTGCCTAATTTCCCTGAAAGCCCAAAGCCATCAAGGACAAGGTCAGAGACTCTATTGGATCTAGGGTTGCATTTTACCCCAACCCAATTATTACAAGGGCTATCATCATCTTCATTCCAAGAACTTAATTTCCCTTCTGGATCTTGAATTTCAGCCTTGAACACAACCAACCCCAGAACATCATCATTTAAAGAAGGGCTCAAAGATTTTACCCAACTTGGTGAGAATAGACAAATGAAAAACAGAACGCAGACTAGAATTCTTCTCATTTTCAAGAAAGAATAGAAGAATGCAGACAAAATTTAAGGCATTGTCTGTTTCAATGAAGCTTAAGACAGAAAGTTTTCCTCGTTTTGGGAAACGAAATGACGGATTCTCGAAGACTTTCAAAATCTCGACAACGAAACGCTACTGCATAGTGCATAACAAAAAAATGTAGACCCGTATACATACAAAGTGGCGTATATCAGTTTTTACTCAACGGCGAGAAATTACAATCAACAGAAAAGAATGGAGAACCCCCAAAAAATAAAAGACAAAACCCGTAAAGAATCCAATCAAACAGCCGCATTTAGCAAGAAAAAAAAAACCCAAAACGAAGAGCTAATCTTTCTCAACCGGAACAGTCAAGAAAAACACCGAAAAGAAAGGAAAGTGGGGGACATGGTAAGAGATTTAAAAGAGAATCGTTGCTTTAGACTTGAAGTGAATAAGAAGAAAGAGTAAAAAGGAGTTTTCCATCTGAGACCGAAAATGTGAGCTCTAGAGCGAAAAGCTTCGCTGGAACAGTCTTCCGTAGTAGAACCTTAGACTGATTTAAAGCCTAAAGCGTCACCGGAAAGTCAGACCGCCGGCGACGAAGGCTCTCTCTTCTTTCTTTGTGTGTCCGAGAGAGAGGATGACTTCTTATTAACGGCAAAAAGAAAAAGGAGAAAAGGGAGTGGAGGGTACGCTTTTATTAGATTTGACACGTGGCGGTATCCAATGGGTCTTCATACGGGCCCAGTGTAGCCCATTGCTACCGGCTCAATTCCTCCTATTTGGCTATTTGGCCAACAATAACTAATAAAATGTACTTAAGAAGTTAAAATTTTAAGCTGAGCAGAGTAAGAAAATAAGAGCAGGTCTTGAATTTACTTGTCTTGTGAGTCTTAGACATCACTTATAAAAGTACTGAATAAAATTTACTTTTTAAGAAATGAATTTTAACCCCTGGTTCCATTATCCCAAAAATTTATTATTCTCTCTTATTTTCAACCACACAATCTTCCATAAAATAATAAAAAAAATTTCTTATTTCTCAACCACACATTTTCTAAAAACATATTATTCCAAATATTATAATTTGAAATAATGGTGATCAAACATGAGCTAAACATGCTTTAAACGAAAGTAAAATTTTAGCACAATCTATATCTTCTAAAAGAACGAGAAAAATATTATTAATCCAAATAAGTGAACATTATGATTTAATTATTGTAATACTTTTTTTTTTTCACCGTGATATTTCAATTTGATTACTCGATATATAATCTGTTTGTTGATGTTAAAATCACCTACGACGTTTACGTCAGTAACATAAATTTGTTTGTCTCAAATTGAAGAACAAAAATTAGACAGCCACTTAAACTACCGAAAAAAAGGGATTGTTGATCAATTTCATTCCAACTATCAAATTAGAAATTTGATGAAAATATAGTGTATAATGTATTTGAGGGAGTTTTTCATGTCTCATCCTTGCTCATGAACCTACACAAAATGAATTTACTTTTCTACACTACTCATAGGTATGAGAATTTAACAAGAGCAGCTCGGGGCATAGCTCAGTGGTGCAAATGACACGAGTAAAGTAGTTTTAGCTGAACTGACAGTCGCAATGTGAGGGTTCGATTCCGGCCTCTTACAAGGTATGTAATTGGACTATTTGTGGCACCAGTATGATAGCTCTTGTACACTAGTCTATTGAGGCACATCCTGCGATTTACTTCATCCACAATACTCTAGAGGCGAGACGGTTGAGAATTTAACAAGAGTAATAAAGTGGAAGATTTCGGACAGAATGTACCAGAAAAAGAGAGTAGAAATAAAGAAAGTTTGGTGAAACAATGAGATTGGTGGGTGGGCAATAAATAAAGTTTTGCAGAGGTAGAACTTCACTTTTGCCTTTTTATCTTTCCTCTGCTTTTAATTTCATTGGCAGAGGTCCCCCAACCTTTCTTCTTCAAAATTCGAAACCTCGTGATTACCGAAGATTTTTCCAATTGCAACTAGTCGAAATTTCTAAATTAGGTAGAGATAGGTTGCATCGCGTTGGCTCGACCCAAAGTCACTCATGCTCGGCTCGGCTCGGCTCATTGGTCGATGACAATATCCATTAGTTTAAGTAGAAATTTGAGTCAAAATCAACAAAAACGTTATTTAGCCTATCTAGAGAGATAGATTGGACTAATAACGTCAATTTTTAAATTTTTTTTTATAATATAACGGAAAATTAAAAAATAATAAGGTTTTGAGAAAACTAGGCCATCGACAGCTTAAGGTCTAGCCCAACGCTACTATAAAATCGCAGGCTTTGTTAAACTGAAAAAAAAAGCAGTGTTTTGGAGGATTTAAAAAATAGAAACATGCTGTGTGGCTGCTGGGATTCGAGCCCAGGTCTCCACGGCCACAACGTGGAATTCTTACCACTAAACTACAGCCACTTGATGATCTGAATGTCGTATTCTAATTATTTAACTTACAAAACATAGCAGGCTTTTTCAGCTCAATGGCTTAAACGGAAAACCCCAATTTTAGGGTTTTAGCAAAAGGGTAAGAAGAAACCGCAACACAACACACGATCAAAGAAGGATGAAATCAATTAGAGCCATCACAACCCTTGTACCCAGGTATTCTTCCTTAAGCCCTTTCAATTAGGTTTTTTCTTCTTCCTTTTTTTTTTTGGTGTATATTTTTCATCAAATAACAAGCCATTGCATAGGCTTCAGGTGGCACTGGAATCTGCTTCTCTCAGAAACTACGCCAGTCATGCTAACCATTTGAACAAGTTGAACGCAGCCGGTCAGTATATATATCATTTGCGTTTCAGGGTTGCTGTGAGAATTTTGAATGTTGATTGGATTTTAGTAATTGTAAATTTTGATTCTCGTTGCAAGGTGTTCCTGTTTTGTTTAAATTGTTGGGAAATGGACAAACTGTAAATTGTTGGTCGGAATTGAAAGTTTCTGAGATCCATGGAGCGAAGTTTGTGATTCCTAGCTATGCTAGGTCCTTGGCATCTAGGGCTTCGGAATCTACACAGAAGTCATCGGAGGTTTTATTTTTAATGCTTTTCCTCTTCCAGTATTATTTAGAATTACATTGGAGCATTAAATTGATATATTTATTGTACTTTTGGTTGCCATCAATTTTGGGTTACATTTGCTTAAGTACTTCTGATTGAGTGTCGATAGCTTATAATCCTCGTAACATAGAGACAATAATTAGTACTGACTGCTTTGTGTCCGCTTAACTTTGACACTTTCTTCATTTTAATTTTCCTTTCTTTTTCCTTTTTGGTTTAAAAGTGCAAAACTACATTTTTGTGATCCTATATGTTGTTCATAGCTTTCCACGATAGAATCATAAAATCACATTGGCCCAAGTAAAATTAATGACTGCATTGTTTAGATATTTTCCAAGGCGTATGCCTTGAGGTATGTCTCCCGAGAGGCTTTCATTGATCACCTCAAACCCTTCCCTGAGCAACACCATCCTCACCATTGAAACCTCGAAATTGACAATTGACTACAAGAGGCAGTAAAGGTCGTCAATTTATGCATCACAGTTTAGATTCCTAAACCCCCTTGCACTTTTTTAGTAGTCAACTACATCGATTATTTTGATGATGCAGAGAAATAAAAGGGCGAGGAGCAAAATTCTATCTTGCTATCAGATTAGGAGCAACGTCTCACGTTGACTGGAATTATCTCGTGCTATTTTCCTAAAACTGATATGCAAAGCCCTGTCAACGTGTAAAAATGGCAATTTGAGTAACCTAAACCTCTTTGTATTGGCTTAAGAGTTCCGGTTTAGTCAACGTGTAAAATGATATGCAAAGCCCCCTCATAGGTGATCTGGGAAATTCTTTGTCCCTTCTTAGGTAATCTTTCATGTAATTTGATCTAATTGTTTTAGGGACGTGCATGGTAGATGCCAAGCTATTTGAGGCACATGATCTGCCAGAAGGCCACTTTATAGATCCTTAAGATAATTGCTACTGTATAATCACACCTAGTGCTAATTGTCGGGCTTCACTTCTACAAAATAAATGGTCAATGCATTCATCTCACACAACACAACCATGTGCGATCAGTGCTTGCTTTGCTCCAGTCAATCCATGAAAGCAACCCAACTCCAGTAGCAATTGTCACTGAGCATGATCACGCTGCAGTAATGACCTTAACAGGATTTATGTGCTGCCTTGTACGACTATGACTGATCACATGCCTAACAACACTTAGTCTACCAAATGTCTACCAAATGGTATGACTTCAACCTAGGACTGAGTCAGAGATGAATATTTCATCAACGCAACCTTTTTGTGTTTAAAGCGAAGTTTCCTGTGCTGCCAAAAATATTATATATGTTATGATTATAATCTAAACTTGACTTATGTTGGTGAGCAAAGATTTTTATGCTCTATTCTATCTTCACAGGCTCGAAGAGACGTATCCAAAGTTGAGGATCCATTTGATGCTCCAACATACAATATTCCCGAAAAGCCAGTGACTTTTACAGAGGGAGCTTCTTACAGTATTATCATCCTTGCCGGGCTTGGAGTTGCTGCTGCTGCAGGATATGGTGTTTTCAAGGAACTTATATTTGAACCAAAAGAGTAAGGATTTATTTCTAAGAGCTAATCATGTCATACACGATTAAACTCTTATTGTTGAGGCCTCTAAAATGTTCCAATTAATCATACCGTTCTTCCGCAGGTACAAAATATTTGGGAAAGCTCTAGAGAGAATTCAAAATGACAGTCAGGTTTCATCAAATATTATTTAATCTTCTCTTTATGATTTCTTTGGGATCTTTAATCTGTGGTCACTGGCCTTATATTGAACATCCATCTTTCATGCTGTATTGGGGCATCAAAACAGAAGGTGATAGCTTGATAACAACAGTGACTTCCAATGACACTAACTTCATAGACACCTGAGGCTCAAGAGACAAAAGAAAGTTAATGGTCGTTGGTCCCTACTCCTGTCATAAACCTTTTTAAGTGAGAAAATGGGTGTTTTAGAGCGAAAATTAACAGCTTTTTACTATGGAAAACTAAGAAAGATGGTTGAATTCTGTAGTAGCTAGCTAGGTTTTCTTTCAGCGGGGTCATTTTATAACTTTTTCGACATGATAGTGAATGCTGTTAAAATTAACATTATTATGTATTTAATCTAATGATAATAAGGGGCATTCTGCCACTGAAAGCTGTATTTGTAAATCGAGCTCTAAAAGGGTTTTGCTTGAAAATGTGGTGGTTGTTGATTTAAGTAAAAAAAGGTGCACCTAGTGCACGAGGTCCTCGTGTGTCTGTAGGGTATCAGATTTTAGTTGAAGAGATGCTGATTTGATTTGTATGTTTTGTTATAATACTTGAAACAAAATGAATGATGAGTCAAATATCTAATCAGTCCATGATGTAAAATCCCTGTGTCTTGCTGTTAAAGGCTTCATGCTAAATGCTAGTCATTAACTTGAAGTTATCCAGTAAATCATGCTGATCAATGTTAGCTAACTGTTGATCCTTCGGCATCCTGCCCAAGTTTAGCATGAAGACTGTAGTACGTCAGGTTTTAATGTCATGGGACCTGTGTGCTGCCAGTAACATTTTTTTGTAAATTTCATTTCTGCTGGCATAAAATGCAGTCTCTTTTGCCATTAGATGAAGAATGCCTAAAAATTGAAGATAGTTTTGATGTTTGTGGATATTGTGATTGCATTTCATGATTGTGATAGTTTAAAACTTTCTTTGCACCAGGTTAGGGTGAGGATTGGGTCCCCTATTACTGGCTATGGCCAAGAAAGCAGGAATCGTGCTGCTCGTCAGCGAATTCCTAATCGAACATGGACTGATGAGGATGGCAATGAGCATGTTGAGGTAGCTTAGTAATCATATTCATTTTATAGTTAATCTCATAACCATCTGGTTTCACACGATTTCCAATGCTTGCTGCAGTAACAAATATTTCTACAAAGCCCCACCCCAGTAGTAACTGATGTATGTAAAGGTTTAGTTTCCAAATATTGTGTGCAAAGACACTCAAATGAATTGGATTTTTAGGTAAATTTCTATATTCGTGGGCCACATGGAGCTGGCAAAGTTGGTGCTGAAATGTTCAAGGATAAGGTTGATAAACAGTGGAAGTTTATCTATCTGATTGTTGAGATCAAATCCCCATCCCCAGCACAACTGTTGCTCGAGTCTTATGTCCCTGCTTGAAATGTATACGATTACACAATGGAATTGCTCCTGTCTGCTTTATGCTCAATGTGGAAATGAATGCTTCAGGCCCTCGTTTATTTTCTGCTTCATCCGAATGCAGGTTAGTACGAATTGTTTAATCAATGTTTTGATGAACTGTAATCATAAGGGCATGTTGTACAGTTCGCTGCGGGAATAATGAGATTGTCAATTCTTAACATTGTGTTTGGAGATGGTTTATGAGGTAGTATTTTGCCGTCTCTTTTCTTCGCTTAATGGAAGATTATGAAATTTCAAATATAGTTCTTTTCTTAAAAATGATCATGCATATTGATTGATCTTTAGAAGAATAGGATATAATTATATGAAGCAACTATGATCATGGGCTTGCGGGGCTTCAATGCCAAGCAGTGACGGAGCCAACACCCGGCGAGAAGGCACAACCGCATGTGCTAGCTCCGCCGGACTGTTGCCTCGCCATGGACAAAGCTTGAAGGTTGAAACGCAAGTGCAGCCGGCCGGGAAGAATGGGAGTGATTTGGAAGATGAACATGAGTGATTTGGGCCATTTTTATTTTATTTTTTATTTTGGGGTACTTACAAAATACCTTTAAAATTAGCGATATTTTGAAAAATCATATCAAAAGTTTTTAGGAAGTAAAAAATACTGTGTAAAATGAAAAAGTGACACAATGTCACTTTTTTTTATAAAAATTGTCACTTTTTTACTTGTTTTTAAAAAAAAAAGTTGACACAAACTCAAAAAGTGACAAAACTAAAAAAAAGTTACAAATACCAAAATAATACTATCCATTTGGGCAGTACTAATAATCATGTTCTTAAAATAATCACCACATTCATGTCAATCCACATGTTGATTATCTTAAAAATATATAACATATTATTTCATTTTTTTATCTTCTTATAATGTACCACAAGAATTTTTCAAAAAAAAATGACACACTCATAAAGTGACAAAATTCAAAAAAAAGTGACAAACTCAAAGAAGTGATAGCCCACTACAACTTTAAACAATTCATTGAACTCCTGCTCTTTTGCCTTCTACACCACTTTCTTCTTCTGTTAATTCTCCCCCCTTCCCCCCCCCCCCAAAAAAGGGGGCAATCAATCAATAAAAAGTCGAATGTAATCCTCAAAACATAACGAATGAGTTTAAAGCATAAAGAATTGGATACTAGGCTTCTTCCTACCAGAATAACGTTCCTTATTTAAAGAAGCTCCACCAAAATTGAACCATTTTGTTCTTTCTTTATCCTCAAACTCCATTGCAAGATTCAGAGATCAAAAATAATAAAATCTAATTTCACATAATTTCCCAAAAAAATCACAAATCCATTTAGCAAAGCAAGCTAAGCAGACGTCGAAGAAGAATAAAGCAAATAGTCTTGGGCAAGTTGATTACATACAGATACATACAAATATTTAAATACAGATACATAAGAAGAAGAAAGAAAATAGTATTTCATGAATCAACGACTCTTTTTCCTCCAAAACCTCAAGCAACGAAGTCCGAAATTCTTTGGGTTCACAGATTCAAGTGTAGCAGAACACCGACATTAATTGGGAGAGATGGTTTCTTTGGAAGCTTTCTGGAAGTTTGGGAAATTGAAACTGATTTGGGTTTTTGGCAGTGGTTTTGATAGTTTGAACGTATTAAATACGTGAATAAATCATTTAATTAATTAATAGGGTATTAATCAAATTAATTATTTTTTCAAGGTATTGGACCTAATTTGCTCTTTTATTTTTAAGTTGTGGGCCTTTTTTGTTAGGGCGTTGTTTAGAAAAATATAGGGTACCCTCCAAAATTAATCAATTAGAATAATACCTCGAAACTAATTAAAACTTTTACTCCCGTAATTAATACTCTCCAATCCTCCCCACTTAATCACCAGCACATCCTAAATCATCTTCCCTAAAAGTCGATGATAGAGGAATCCAGAACTCATTCATTTCTCCCAAATTGAAAACCCTCCAAACCTCTCCGTTACCATTTCCAATTTCCTCCCTTCACAACAGCAAGACAACATCTCCGCCTCCTATCGGCGCCAAAATAGATGAAGAACAAAAGTCGTTACTGTATCCAAACGTTTTCGGGGGTTCTTGTGAAAATGACTTAGTCAAAGTCTCATAATTTCACTTTAACTTTTACAATTGACAATAATCTCAAATGACCTATTTGTTGTAAAAGGACAAAAACACCCCGAAGTGACAAACAATTACA